CCAGATCCCGGGGCTGTGATCCCTGATCTCATATACCTTGTTACGACCCTGTAAAACACTCCTAGCAGAGAAACTCTTGGAAAGTAATTGCTCTTCATAAAATAACCAAGACACTGTATCTTCAGAGTGTTCATTTATTATGGCAGACCCAGAAAACTGACACAAGTTTGGTAGCAATTGTGACTAAAGCAGTTTTCAGTAGTTGTTGTTTTTGATTTTTATGATAGCATAGTAATCCACTATGGATGCTACATGGAACTCTCAAAAAATACATTGTGTGCTTTATGTATCTGTCAATTTGATGCTTCATATTGAAAAAAAGAAAAAGTGAGTTTTGCTAACTAAAAGAGTCCTCAACACAAAGATGAACTATGACACTAAACTTTATTATTCACAATATTGTCCTCATAATAAAAGTTTGAGATTTTCAAACAAATCTTATGGTAACTGTAACAGTATAAAGTAAATATCTTGATTTGGATATATTTCTTAATCTTTTAAGTATCTTCTTTACATCTCAAAATTATATTATCATAACATTGGCTAACACAATGCAATAAGAACTAGTGTAGCAAACCTTTATCAGAAGGCCTCTGAGGGCTAAGAATGGGAATATCAATTCACTGAATGTTTATCACTGATAGAAACTTAAATGTGTGTAAAGGACTAGCATTGTTGAGATCAGTAGCTGAGAGGAAGCATTTCTGTTCTCTTCCTTTAACCCTTAAATAACCAAGATCTGATTGTTAATTCTCCCTTCTAGTTGCTACACATTTACTTGTAAATAAGTTATGAGAATTTAATGTAAGATCAAGATAACTTCTGCCTGATAAGTTTCAGTATTATCATTGTCTGTATGCTGGATAGTGTTTGGATATTATAGGGAGAAGCTACATGAATCAGTCACTTTTGGGAGTTTTTAAATTGTCTAATATTTTGGTGTGATTCTTTCAATGCTGTCTTGCCATCTAATAAATTACCATGAGTCATGAACTGAAATGGTTTTCAATGTATCATGAATTTAAGTTGTCCTGGGCCAGATGGGTTTCAAACTATTATGACATCTTTTAGTTACAGTTTCCCTCATGGGTTGATAAAAAGAAGGGTTATGATCAAGTGGTTCTACAGGCTTTATTGTTTAGTTCCCCATAAGATACAATGTACAAATGGCGAACTAACATACATCTTCTAAACAAAATGGGAACAACTTTAACTGAAGAATATGGTACAACAACAAGTACCACATCAACAACAGCAGCAATAACAAATCTCCTCTACCTAGAGGGCTTCGGCCTTTGCCTCGCTTTCTAAGCCATTCTGAATAGCTTTTTTGGTACTCCCTGTAATGCGTTCCTCTCAACACGATGTGGCGATATTCTCGTGAAACAACGAGGTAATCGTAAAGCTGAATGAAATTCATCTTAGGTAAATTACGGAGATCGCTCGACCATCCAAGGGCTGAAATCTTACCATAGTTGCTTCGTATTTGAAGTCGCTCTGGTTTTGTTCTAGGTTCTGGACATCTGTAAGAAGTTCTCGGTTTTCTCCACTACTCGATGGAAGGACGTGTCACATCAGCAAAGCATGTACTTTCGACACCAAGTCGGCTCTAATTCCGCCCGTCGACTTAGAATTAGATTTCAAAATCTCCCCGAGATCTTTTGCTTCGAGTTTCTAGACGTCATCTAATGACGAGATTTCCATATTGTTATATTAAAGAACCATTTTGACGGGAGAAATCGTATTGAAAAGTACATTAGAACGCGAAATGTCAGCAGATCAGCAGTTTGAAAGAACCACCGGGTCAACCCCAGCCTCGTTATCGTATGATCGTGTGTGCGCCGTTACTAATCCAATATGTCTCCGGGAAATGTAAAAAGGTCTATTACCCCACAGTTTTTAATATTGTACCGTGAGAATGATAAATTACTTACTGGAAGACGAACTAGTAGTCTCCAACAGACATGCCGCTGGTTGTCTCTAGGGGGGGAAATTAAACCGTAAAACTTCGTGTGCGTATTTCTTAATCAACAGCTCTAGATCCCCTGGAGTTAGATTTCCGCAGGAAATATATGACTTGAAAAAGCTGTTATCATTATTTCTTTGGAAGAGTTACTACTAAAATGCTCTAGGCAAGCCAAGCAGGACTCACACTTTTTTTCTTCCATTCCGTTTTTAATTCAGTGAGGTAGTCTTAGTTTATCATACCAAGCACCAAGAGTGATGTACATTGTAAATCTCCTTACATCAATGACAAGAGCGGTGATAAATAAAAATAATCCGCTATTGGTAAGATCCTGACGTACCGGAAAATTCTCCCAGCATAAAAAGAAACGTAAGAAGAGACATAGTAAGGAGAATTTCTCTCTCAATCTTGGGCTTGAATGTTTTCATGAGAAAGGAGTACCATATCGGCTAAGAGACTTAACATTGCTATACCGATAATAATCATTATATCACACCCCTCTGTTCATTTGTTTTCCACTAACTTCAGTTCCATAATTTTTCTTTTTCCTTCCTGTCATTCAGATCTGTTTTCCGTCTTCACCTCTCTCATTCACTCTTTATGTTCCTGTACTTCTCTCGATTACAACGTCCGCGAGTCAATCCCAATTTACTACTCATAGTAGTCACGACGCTTCTCCTTAAAATCCAGCTCGGTTCTATTTTTTGTTTCACTCGATAGAAAAATCAAAATCGTTCAGTGTTCATGACAAGAGTGTCAACAGAATGTGGGCGCAATTTATGCAGAAGAATTTAAGAAAACTCTGCCGAAGGGACGCGCTTTGTCGCGGATGTTGCGAGGTTCTGTACGCTTGGGTAACTTGCACGCACGCACGCGAATCAGCTTTCTGCCTCGAGAGCTTGTTTCAAAGCCTCTTGTTGGAGCTCACTGAGTTGTCCGGCGCACGCCGTCCACATGTCAGCGGCGCTCTGAAAGAGATAGGCATATTCTTTAACCCTTTACACCCTAACATCAGTGCGCATATTCTCCATACTGCTCTCTACTCATTTCCTAAGGGGTTGACAAGGAGAATTGGTTTAACAATCAAGAGATTCTTTAGTCAGTGATCATTTCCTTTATTCTCATAATCTTAACGTTTGATTCTGGGGTGATATTGTAAAGAGAAATTAGCTGCCAGTCACTTTTTGGGGTTGAAGAGTTAATGATAAGACAGGATACCGACCTAGAAATGTAACTTTCGATACGTTAAAGCCTCTCTCAACTCGGACTAAGAGCGTTATTTCACCAACACATCTATAATCGTCCGCTCTCTCACCTGTATTTGTCGTATGATTACTAGAACCCTTTTCCGGGCCGCCTCGTCGTCGCTAAGAACATCATTGATGAACAGTTCGCCAAAAATTTGGAGTATCCGAGGTAAGTTACTGTTACTTGTGCCCAGAACAAGAGGATTATTTCTGTTGGAGTACAAAACAAACAACATCAACGACAAGAAAATTTAACTAAGACATTAGTGCTTATGCCCAAAACGTCACGAGTTGATCCATGTAAAGTAAAGTGTCTTAAAGTTTTCCACCTTCCCCCGCCCCTCGCCGCACCAATTCTGAGTGGTGACTTGGCATTTTGTTGCAATCCTCAGAAGTATTCAGGGAGTTTGAGAGAGTCGCACCTTAATCGTCAACTGAATGGTGAGAGCGCTGACATCGGATCAACGTGGCCCCGAATCGAATCTTTCACTGTTCATCATGCATTAGCCAGTTCGATGTGTCTACATTAAGTTTTCATTCTTTTGTGGCTCTACAATTCCCGGCTTCTCCGTTATCCTTTCCCTCACAAAACCAAGCCACTTACTCTTCAATCAAATCACAGAGGTATCCATACACGTGTGGTGCTTCTTCTTTATCTTCCGTGATCGGTAATGCCGCAATGAGCGCCGGGACCACCTCATTCAGCGCGATATTCCCACGATTATATTTACAGATTTTTGCCACAGCAGAAATAGCATTCTCCGTGGCATTCACGTTCTCTCGACTTCTGGATTCCGGGCCGTTTATGACTTGGAAAAGCAAGGGTACAACATCTGAAACGTGAAAACATGGTTCAGTTTTAAAAACGTGATCTCGGGTAGATCGTATACTACGGAAAAGCGGCTCGGGAAGTATTCAAAGTCACAAAACTGGGTTTACACTCGGGAATATTTGAAGTAGACTGCGTATCTTATTGTCAATGACAAAATATCAGACCTGCACAGGCTGTGATATATTCCTCTCCACCATACTGAGCCATCACTCCGCATCCATAACACGCAGCCTATCGAATAAGTACACAGGAAGTGTTAATGATACGTTTTAGAACGATTTCGATTGAGTGCCGTGTAACCAGAACAATAGAAATCACATCCGCCAATCAGGAGAAAGGAAAACTCCTCTCAGAGCTAAAGTAACTAAAACGACAAAACTGAATAGAGCGCGGGAAAGCGCGGGCGACCAAGTCCTGATTGGTTTTAGTTTTGTATCTAATTGGTTGAGAAAGAGGCGCGAGTTTTCTGAACCAATCACTGAGAGAAGTAAAGCAAAACCAATGAAAATTGCTCTACACTGTATGTGAAAGGATCAAAGTACATCTGCCGTGCAGTTGTCAGTTCTATAAAAAAAATAAGACCACGTAGACTGTACCTGTCTCACATCAGCATTTCTGTCAACCACATAATTCATCATCGGCCGTAGAAAGTACTCTTGATACTTGAACGACGCCTGACAGAACAGACAAACAATTAGCTTTCCTATTGGACTGAAGAGAAAAATAAGGTATTCCAAAACAATAACAATAAAATATCTACCCTGTGTGGAGCCAGGGCAAGCTGCACTAGGATCACGACGATAATGATGAAGGTAAACCTGTTGTTTTTACCCTTCCTTTACGCGCTTGATACTTACAGATCCCGCATGTTCTATGACATCATCGAATATACATAGTGACCACTGCTTGTCTTGAGCGGATCCCTCTGGAGACTGTTTAAAAAAAGGAAATAAAAAACAATTAGAAAGATAAACAAGCAAATAACTAAATTAATTTATAAAATAGTCCAACAAAGCAGCCAAATGCAGCCGTTAAACTGAAGGCGATGTTCAAAGGAAGTTTATGACCATAAACCAAGCAAATTGAAATTAAACTGAAATGAAAATGAAGGTAAAACAGTTAAACTGAAAACTGATCTTTCAATCGATCGTTGCTGACGTCACCATACTCACGTCAGTTTGACCAAACCTCAAACTCGCTCATTCATAAAGAAATGGCTAGAAGAATCATTACAGAAAATTTCTCGAACTCACCAGTAAGGAATGAAAATCCGGCAAAAGCTGCTCAAAGAAAGGCAATGCACCATCTTTGTGCGTACCAAACAAAGCGTGCATTATATCAGAAACCTGTAAAAGCAGTACAAAATGATAAATGAAATGTCGCTGCAGTAAGATTCACTGAGGAGGGCGTGGTGACTAAGGTGGCAGGCGCGGTGGCCAAGCAGTTATGGCCATGAAATCCGCAAAGATAATTCATAAGTAGAAGAAACTGAATCTGATAGACTATCAGCTTGTTGAGACTCATGCGAGTAAAATTCAAGGTGAAATTTCAGTCAACTTACCTTGCTCAAGATGTGCACATCAGTCTCGTGCTAAAATAAGAATAATATATTACGTTTAAGAGAAGTAACAACAAAAGTAACAACAATCATCGAAAAGATCCGAGGTAAATAGTCAAAAATATACCTCGTCTTGCAAATCTTCTTCGACCTCTTCGTCGTAATCTTCTTCTTTTCTTCTTTCTGTGCAAAAGATGACGTTACGCAAACAAATCAACAAGTATAAAATAAATTGAAAGTCGAAAGAAAGATGTTTAACATTTGGTCATGATGGTAGGATTACGACGAAATCCGAGTTCCCAAATAGCTCTCAGTCCCAGCCAGTTCCAATTTTTAATTTTACTGTCAGATGCTCCAGCAACTGAGCCATAAAAGAGACTTACCGGTGAACCAAGCTAGCCGTGTACTAGGTGCGAAAGAACTGGGTGCAAGTGAACTAGCAGTAATAATCACTTCAGAGTGATTCAAGTGATACTCACGCTGCCTTTCGATCTGTCTGTTTTTATGAGTGTCAATAATATCGTGCAGAATAGTTCCCAGCTCTGTGAAATAGTCAGCGGTCATGCACCCCACACCTAATGTCTCTATACACCGTGCCAGGGCATCCATGATCAAAATCTGAACTTCCGGTTCTGGTTCGGCACTCATGGCCTTTAGCACTTCCGGGCACATGTAGGCCCACATCTGACGGAGGTACCCGTCCCCTTTGATCTTGGCACACTCCAAGAGGAATGGCAACGATTCCGCTGCAGCCGTCCGCACAAGGTCGTGGAAATAAAATTTCAAGAGAGGGACCATGAGTTTGACGACTTGCTCTGTGTACGGAGCAAATCCTTCTTTGAGTTCTCTGGCATAGCAGACCAACATCTGACAAGCGGTACTCTTGTCTTCCAGGCCAGCAGTCTTGATACCGAACTTTTGCTGATATTGTAAATAAAAAAATAAATAAAAAATCAAGCTGATTGCAGGAAATGATTGATGAGTGTACGTTTAAACAACTGGAGGTCTCACTTGTACGTCTCGAGTTGAACACAAAATGTTCGCTTTTCTCCATCGTACTCTGGAGTAAAAAAAAAAAGGCACCTCATACACCTTACCGCTTCATTCTGCCATATCATCATTTAAACTCCTCGCGCAATTAAGAAACGAGTGTCTCGTAGTTAACTGTACTTCAAAACGAAACATTCCACTTGAACTCGACAGGTGATAGAAGTTGTACCTGATCTCCAAGGGTAATAAACTGCCATCCTTCATCTTCAGAATACTGGCCGCTCTTTGGATCATCAGCTACAGAAAAACAAAACAAAAAACAGATTTGTAAATTATTGTGGAAGCAGAATCGAAATAACGAGGCGTTTAACACAAAGAATGTTAAAATAAATCACACACCGTCGATGACTGCCACTTCTGGTTTGATTGACGCAGCTTTCATTACAGATGGCATCACCAGTGGAAGATACTGCGTGAATTCTGTTCCAAAAATCTTACACATCCTGGCCCAAGCGGAGATCATGTAGGAAATCTAACGTCACAGAGAAAAACAATCCCTTCATGATGAATACATGAACGGGGACAGTAATGTACAAGATTTACGGTCTCTTAGACCATTTATCAGTTTAATTTCAGTCAGTCCTTCCCACACAAGTGGATCCCTTGCTCCAAACCTTTTCGAGGTAAAAAAAAAAAGGGGGTTCGTCTGTCTCTGGCGATGGTGTTCGCAGCTCGTCGCGCCAATTTTGACTCACTAGTTTTCACCTAGGCTGGTAATTTAAAACTTTATTTCACCGAAGTTGCCTGGTTGCTGAGCTCCTGGGGGCTATACTGTACCCCGCGGTTTGTTCTCCCAAAAAAATTTAGCCTAAATCACAGATCTAGGTATTCTTTTACGACACATCCTTGTTGCTTTTTAGTTTACTCTCACTTTCATTGGGTGATTCTCTACTCTATCAAACGACCATTTTACGGAAATTTCTCTTTTGCGGCGGATTCTCAATGGCGCTAAAAGTGGCACATGAAATTGTTAAATACATGTCGCTCCCTCATCGCTCCGTTTGACGCAACAATAATCTTGCTGTACGAGGGAGAGAAAGTGGAATTGTCCATTTTCACCTAAAAGGTGTTTATCTTCAAGCCAACCCACCTGAGGATCGTCTGCCTCAAGTTCTTCCATCTCAGTTTGAGTTTTAAGCAACAACTGCATCACATCGTTAGCATCGGGCAAGAACTAAACAAGACAGAAAAACAGTCAGGGATTTAACAGTTTGAACATGTACACTTAAAAGTCGCGCGCGAGACACTAGGGCCCAATGGTCATCGCGCTGAAGTCTCAGTCGAGAGGTCTGGGTTCGAGCACTGATCGGGGTCATACTGTTGGTTATTGGACATAAAATTTTATTCTCACGGAGTCCCTCTAAACTCAGGAGTATAAATTGACACCGGCCGACGGTGACGGACTAAAATCCAATTCAGGACGAGTTGCAATAAGTTTTAGTTGCTTTTTGCTATGGAAACCGAGATAAATTATGACCAGGCGGCGTGGTCTATTTCAATTGCGTGCAAAGAAGATCAGGTTTAACAATCTACAACAATAATCTTTTAAGTTCAACACAACAGCCTATAAAAAACATTTCTTAGAAAACTACCGTCAATACTGAATCCACGTACCTTTTCCTTCCCTACGGCCAAACCAATCAAGCTGATGCATTCGATGGTTTTCCCTCGCAGCATGCGGTAATCAGATGACAGAGCATTCTGCATGATGTACTTGAGATTTGGCATGAAGCGATCATAGTAGTGTAGGAATTTCTCCTCGGCAGTGTCTGCAACTGTGGCTATGGTCGTCACAACCTGCTCCAGAACTAGTTTTCCACCACGTTCAAGCAGCTGTTAAAAAAACGAGGTGGCGTAAAATATATTTTGCTACACATAAAAACCACCACCTGCAACATGCAGATACGTTTTATTTGAAGAAAATTCCGTGATGACCTCCCTTAAATACTTAGACATATTTTTCATGGGTTAGAGAATATTTATTTACCAGAGGTAAAGGGTAGAATACAATAATGAACCTACCTCCCTTAGCTTTGAAGCCAGCACAGCTTCAAGTTTTGCCAAGATGTCATCAAGATAAGACGCCAGAATATTTTTGGGGCAATCATCAGAGAAATTAACCAACGCAGCAGCAGCGTGGGCCTGGACACGAGGGTTGGCAGTGTCGTCCAAAACAACCAAAAGGCCTGGGATCACCTATAAATATCCGACAATTAAACACACTCAGGAGAAAAACACAGAGAAAAAAAAGTTACAATGTACCAACAATTGCCAAGGAAACTGTTAATTTCCAAATACGTCTCCCCATCCATCCTTTTATCAATACAGTTTTTAGAATTAATTTCTTTTATTTAGAAAGAAACAACACTGAATAGGAGGAATGGGGGAAGACAAATTGATTTATGAAGCCGGCAGAAAAGTTGCCTGTCACTTAAAATACAAACAACTGAGAGAATCAATTTGCTGAGATAGTTTTTGTCTATGATTGCAAATACTAACATTTTTTAAATACCTTTCATGAGGCAAGACTCATGAACAGCTTCCTTACTCAAGACAAGACCTTCATCTCTAGAGATACTTATTTTGCAAACACAACTGTACAAAAGACAGACACTACAATTTTAAATTGTACTGTCCAAGTGCTACTCTGCTGTCTCATCCCAGTGACTACAGAGATGAAAACTATCTCTACAATCATTAAAATTTCCACTTACTCGAGTGTGGAATTTCTTTTGAAATCCAGGTGCAAAGTCAGTAGAAAGCTGTCCCACTGCATTACAGGCGGCATATCGCACACGCGGATGGGTGTCGCCCAAGAAAGGTAAGACAGTGTTCACAATATCTGGGAGTAAAGCCTCCATCTGTTTATAGCAACCTTCACCCACTGCAGAGATTGCCATTAGACCAGCATGTCGGTACCTCCAGTCAGCTACAAAATGGAACAAGAATTAGGAAAAAAAAAGTATAACTATGAAATAATATAATTAGAGACTTGTAACACATATCTACCAATAAACTCACCATTCTGCAACATCTGTGGCACTGTAACAATGATGTGTGGTAAAACTGTTTTTCCACCCAAACCACAAGCCAGTCGATCAAGAGAACTCTCTCCTGCTACAGAGTTACTATGGAGGGATTAACAGAATATATATTTTTTCCACTTGTAAAATTGACCTTCATTATCTATGCTCACATTTATGAACTGCAGAGATGACAAAAATGTTCAAAACTTAGATGAAACCAAGAGGCCCAGCCAAAAAGTCTCAAGCAAAGTTTCATCATTGATTACTTATCAATTTTGGTTAGTGTAAAAATAATAATAAACATGCCAGCTGTGCTAATCAGAATTAAAACTGTCCTGATTTGATGACCAAGTTTAAATTTAACTTATTAGTTTTATTCCATGAATACCACTCTGATTAGAGGAAGCCACAACTAAAATTTTTTTCATTTAATCAGAAATTTAATTCCTGGTACCAAACAAATATACCTTTCAGAGTCGTCATCTTCAAGTTCATCAGACACACTCCATTCTGGGTCGTCTTCAAGATCAACCATCATGGCCAGCATCTCTGGAACTGCAATATCATTAATTATTTGATCTCTAAGTTAGTATGTGTGCAATGATTGATCAATTTGGCAGGGCATAATTCACTGCCAGGCTGGCTAAATTCAAAAGTTTGTTCAAATCGAAAATTTCCCACTCTACAAAAATGACAATAGCATACAAATAACAAATTGGAAAAAGAAAAAAAGTTGAAACTAAAAATGCACCAAAAAAAGAATTTTCACTCGACTAACCTATAATTGGAATATGCTTCTGACACTTCCTGAGCATTGCTGGTGCTATAATGAAATGCAATTTAATGAAAATTAAGAATAACCTTTCTAAAGGAACGTATGAGAAATACTGTCGGGCATATGTGCAAGTACTTTTCATAAGTTATACAGTACCAAAATCAAACCACTGAAGTTTATAGAAGGAAGTGTTTTGTTGAAAGGCAAATTTACAGACCTGTTTCTGCCAGAGTGACAACACACTCCAGGGACAAGTGTCTCCAACTTTCAAGAAGATTTGCATTGCGCACAATCTGTAAAAGGCAGGTACAAGTCTTATTCAACCCAACACCCACCAATGACAATCTAGTTTCAACTCTCACTCTTCACCTATTTGTACTCACCATCAGATGAGACTTGACAATATATAAGTTACAAGTTAAACTTGTTTTCAGGAAAGTATTCCTATTAGCTATGTTCATGATAACAACAGTTGCGAGTATTTCAATGTTTTTCATAAGTAAAACCCACCGATGCTTACATTTTCAGCACGTTTCTCAGGTAAAGATTATTGACCAGAGACTTAAGTGCAAACAACCAAACCAAAAATCTTTGTACTCTAACTAGCAACAAAATCATCTCTCTTAAGTCAGCAGATATTTATTAGAAGGACTTTAAAACTACATACCTCCAACATCAAATCTAAAATGGACTCCAAGTTTGTCCTAAGAAGCTTAGGACAAGTGTCTGCTAAATCAATTAAACATTTTAACACTGAATCATCCACACTTGCAACAACACTCTCCCGTACAGCCTGAGATAAACAAGAAAATATTTTTGTGACTTAACATATATAAACTAAATCATGTCTTCTAACCCTTTCACTCACAAGATCTCATTAGTAATTCTTGTCACTGCCTGCCATATATTTCTCATTGTGTGAGTTTGGAGATTTTGACCTGGATCACCTAATAATCCACTTGTTGATATTTTTCATTAATCACAATCTCTTGTCTTCTTGAAATTGTACTGATATTGTTAGGAGAAATTCTGTCTTGGTCATTCATGGGAGTTAAAGGGTTAAATCATGGAAATTCATGTCAGTGAATAAATTTATCCTATGTCAGGTTTTAGGTTCAGCCTGTGCAATCCCAGGAAAGGAAGCTGACAAAAGAATTTCAGGTGTAAGCAAGACTTAAATGGGTCATACTGGTGTGATTCTGGTGTGATTGTAAGGCAAAAATGGCTAAAAGTCCTCTGAGGTTAGAGGCAAAACAGTTGTATACAGTTAGTTCATATATTTCCACACAAGAGATGAATGAATAATTAACCTGCACACCCCCATGTCCAGTGGCTTTAAAATGCAACAGGGTGGTGCAGTGCAGTGGAATTGCAAGGCCATCAACTTGGTATCCCACCTTATTTTACCCTACAGTTCTTCTGTTGCTTTCAATAGGGATCAATTTATAATTTATTGACAGTAGATAACTGGAATAAACACTTGTAGTGGCAGGACTTGATGATATGGGAACTCTTGGAAACAACTGAAGAAATTTACCCTTGAATCAGATGAACAAAAATTCATCATTTTCATGCCAAGTTTTGCAAGTTAATTTTGTTTTACTTTAATTTATAAAGTAACTTCCAACTACCTGGACTATTCCTGGGACTAAATCCACAAACTGTCGCTGTTTGACCTCCTCCACTTGATCTGTGATAAAAGCAACTGAAGCACGGGCTGACATAAAACGAACCTGCAATAACCAAAAAAATGTAAACATGTATCAGACCCAAGATAATCAAGCAGACAAGTAATGAGAATAGAGAAAAATATCAAATAGGGGATTCTTAGCTGATCTAAAACAAAACTCTATGAACTAACATTATCAGGACTGTATGGTAGACAGTGAGGGGGCTTATTAATGAGTTTTTAGGAGTGAATGGGTTTATCAAAACCCAAGTATTGTCCATGATGTAGACACAATTATGAAGCAGTGTGGTATTAACCTGTTGGCTGGACTGATCCTGCAGACATTGCCACAGCATATGTTTGATAACCTGCATGTAATGTTCTTGTTGTGTTCCAAATATTCCAGGGAAAGATCTGTTATGAGAAAAAATTTAGTATTCGAACAAGACAATGGAAAGACATTCTCCTAGAGAGGATATCACTGTAGAATATAACAAAATTGTGTTTTTCAAAAATAACTAATATCACTCTAAAATTGTAATATTCAGTCTCACTATTTCTACTGGATGTGTTAATTGACCTTGGACTTTGCTCTTTCACAAATGTCCACCAATAGAAATCTTAAGGTTCCCTCACATCACCTGCGATGCAGATTATTTGTACACCCTCTATTTCAACTGTTAGAAAAGATTAACACGTCAGACTACCAGACAAGGAGGTGATGAATGAATAGAACACTTACACAAAAATATGGAGAGCACATTCTTTAAGCTCAGAATGCTGGGAGTTGCAACACTCAAACAGAAACTTCAGAAGTTCTTGCCAGTGATTGTATCCTTCCTCATCTGAAAAAAGAGAAAATAAAATCTGCGTCAAATGTAAAATAAATGATTTACTTGTATGATAACGATACACATTGATTGCAGGAACTTGACACGAGAATATAGGTGGCCCTTTTAAGTGGCTAAGAGCTACTGTGCTAAAAAAAATGAGATTTTTGATAAACACAAATGTGCAGTCCGCATCTGTTCTTAAACAGACCCTTTCTACTAGAAAAAAATTTGTTTGAATTATCAAATTCCTGTAGAACAACAAGTACCTTCACAACTTACCTAGAAGACTTCTGGATAATTCAGCAACAGCATCGCACACCTTTTTCCTTACTGCTTGGGCTTGTTCCTCATTTATGGCCTTGAGTAAATCATTCTTCATTTCTTGCTGAAAAGCTTGATCAAGTTTGTCGTAAAAATCCACTGAGCTTGAGAAAATCCTTCGTAACAGCACAGCTGACATCTGACGCACCTTAATCAATAAATGTTTTTGATAAAATTATTAAGCTTAAAAAATGATACAGTGGGCAAAGAGAAAAACCTATGTATTTTCATGAATAAAAATATTATACCAAAATCTCCAAAAAATATCAAAACATCACTAAGAAACAACATGTCTTTAATTTTACCCTATTGCCTTCATTTCTTACCTCTGCAATGGCTGATGTTCTTATCATCTGAATAAGGAATTTAATTTTTGTTGGCTCATTAATGGTTTCATAATGTGTCTGAAAGAAAAAAAAAAAGATTTTACTAAACAGTAGAAACTAAATTTTTAATGTAACATAAAATAGATATCGCAAAGCCACCTTGCATTGATAATGATTAAGCTATCCAACTTTTCCACTACTGTTATCAAATATAAACTACTATGTTTCAACATGGTGAATTCAATGTATCAAGAAAAATTTCATGTCATATTGACAATGAAGAAAAGGTTTTTAATTTTTAATTTCTTTGGTTTCTAGTTATTAATTTCCTGTAGTAGTTTTGTCAAGTAGTCTGATAGTAGTGTTAGTTTGTGAACTAAGTTTTGTGAAGCTTCTTTTGGTGTTTTTTGTTTTGTTTTATGCCAAGTGTACAAAATATCTACGCAAATAAAAATATTTTTAAAAAAGATAACTAAAAAAGGATCATACAACCAAATTATTTAGGATCTGCTTCAAAACTCAAAAAAGGGATGATGATCATTCCACCAGAACTAAACAAAGATTTCAAGTGCACAAGAAATTATCATTTATGAATTTTCCCACTTCAGATGTGTTTTGGGACATACTTATACTCAGGTGAGATTTTTACTTTTTTATGGTTTTCCTTTATGGTTTAGTTCTGTTCTACAAATTGCACCCAACTATGAATACAATTCATGGTAATAAACAAAATAATCACTAAAATAATTAATTTAATAGTGAAAATCAAAGCGTCTTAAGGAACCAAGAATCAGGACTTTTGTATTATTTTACACACAAGTCAATTAACTATCAAAAGTACTTAAAAATAAGACAATGTTTTCATCTTCTTTTTGGGGCAACTTATGTAAACAAAATAAAATCATAACAGAAAATATGCAATCTCAGTCATGTTTCCTACACACAGGTAACTTTTACCATAACTTTCATTGTTAGTGATACAGCAAAATGAAAAAAAAGCCCTTTACTGGAAGAGACTTCCCTTAAAAAATTCATTACAATTAAACATGGATTTTCTTATCAATACGCGGATTATCATTCAAAGTTTACTGCAATTAAGTTTACATTCAACATATGACTGATACATATAATTTTTTAGCATTTACATGGAGCACTCTGACTTGTGTTGTCAAACCTTATTTTCAACGACAGAGATCTATTTCCAACGGGATTTGATATTGCCGGTCGCGTAGCATGGACAACGACGGTGAATAACTTTTTGACTCCAATTCTAATTAACTAGCTTTTAATACCACGAAAGCACATGGAATCTTGTTTAACTGCTTTTTCGTTCATTTTACTTTCTGAGCGGCGAAGAACCCGTTGTATTCCTCGGATGTTTCTCTAATAATTAACTAACAACCTAAAACGTATTTAATTTGATCCTGACTGTTCTAGGAAATAAATAATCGTATCAATATGTATGTAACAAATACATTCGAAGGTATACACTTTAATATCGACCTTTGTTTAAAGGAATACAAACTCAAGTACGATTTGAGAGGTTTAATATTACCTTAAATCGTTTCCAAAATGATCATAAATCACTGTATGACCTTGCGAAACCCGGAAGAATTCATTTTGTGCAAGATCGTGTCTTTTAAGCGATATGCAGTAGGTGCTCTCGGTGATAACATTGAAAACTTGGGCGAACATTTAAACAAAACAACCCGCTCTTTTGATTTGGAAGCTATAGTTACATGAAAGGGTTTTATATAAGTTTTACGTAATGATAATAGCTGGAAAATTGTGAGACAGCTGAGGAAAAAAGCCAGGTTTTGTCATGCACATGGTTTGAACTCCTGCCGACGATCAGCGGTTCTCAAGGACGTTCCCGGCAAGAACCCACACCGTAGTTACTCACCTATGTAATTTCACGAAAATAAATCACACAAGAATAGGAGAGATTTTCCTACCTCTGCCTGATTTCTGATGTTATTATCAGGAGACATCAGCTGTGTTACGAGAGATTCAAACTGCTGCTGGTCGTTCGCCATTACGGCCACCATATTGCCCAACCTATGATTTGAGCGCATGCGCGTAATCTTCCCTGAATGAAACATTTTGGCGGCGAAAGAATTGTTCAAATTTTGGCGCGATCATTTGCAACATTGTCAGAACCTGATTGTTTACCATGAACTCCGACGGTTTTGTGTTGAATTCTTAGTGGAGTATCGAGGTCCTGGATCATTACCAGATCTTGATATCACTACCCCGACAACGACGAGCGATGTCTGGCGCTCGAATCAAAAATTAGAAAAAAATATGCAAGGGTTCTGCGTGAACGCGACATGTTTTCTCGCTGATTTTTTTCCTTTTAAATCGCGCGATGAACTTTGTCAAAAAGAGTTCCTACTTTATCAAGTTTCCTCCCCGCGAACAAGCGAAGTCTTACACCCAATTCACGCAACACTAGATTTTGTAAATACAACTTTTTATTACCTAAGTTTAAAAGGGCTAGAGAAGGAGGGAAAACTTTTCTAGTTTCTGCCATAAAATTATGGAATCAGTTAAAGCCTGAATTAAAAAAGTCTAATACACTTAAGGCCTTTAAAGACAACGTATTTAAATATTACTATAAGGACCAATCATGCTTAGCTCATTTTAATCCGTAAATTTTATTGATAGTAGTTTTATATTCTTACTTGTTTTAGCTAATTTCTATTTATATTTCATTCTATTAATGATTCTATTGTATTTATATATTTATTGTAATTAGGAGGACCACAAGTTTATTAGTGTTTGTGCACTATCACGTGCTATCCTCAATAAATAAAGTCTTCTTCTTCATGGCCATTTAATGTCACTGAGCACGAACAAATAAATAATAACCTTTCCAGTTTATTTTATTTATTGATTCAACTAATTTATTATCGTTATTTCCCAGGGAACGCACAATTCATCTAAGGAAGAGTGGTATGTATAATAGAGCACAAAGGTTTAACCAAGAGCCCCGAACCTGTTTCTTGGCTATTGCACATGTACTCCTTATTTCGATAGTATAAGTTTGCGCATGTACTCCTTATTTCGATATTTTCGATGATTTTATTAACTGAGAATGATAACGTAAATTGGCCATCGTGAAGAGTTTGTAAGCTGTCGTTTTAAAGGACTAACGATCAACACGTCAGCTTACAAACTCTTTACGGTGGCAAATTAACGTTATCACTCGATCTCAGTTGATAATACCGGCTAAATTATTTTGTTATTCTCCCTCGTCGACGCAGCACCACAGTTTGGTTAGAAACACACTCCCTATAAGTTGTCCTAACTCACGTTCTGTCTTTTGGTCTCCATCGCTGCAACCGTAGTACATGCCAGTTTTATTTGTAAAGCTTATTCCAACATAACAAGAAAGCATAAGCTCATAGTTTTATATTCATAGTCTAGAAACATTTTGTCGCCTGTATCCCCCTCAGGACTACCCTACATATGCCCTAAGTGATACAAAATAATTGTCTATCGAAAAGGAAACTTTACAAAAATGATAAATTGGCTGTGCGTATCAGTGTGGACCGACAACATTTTGTAAAAGGAATTTTTTGAAGACACTGACACCGGCTCTTATTATCTGCTGACAAGGGTAATTATATTGTAGAAAAAAGTTATGGACAAACAGCAATATCATGACAAAGCATTGTCTCTGCTCAATGACAAAAGTAAGTATGCAGTCTTAAACTCTGATCCTAACAGTAAAACTCAAAGAGAGTTTAAAAAAATGTTGCTTGATTTGAAAAAAGCTGGTAGGATTAGTAACTATGCGTACAAAATCTTAAACAATATTGACAGCTTGTGTCCTAGTTTTTTTCGGCTTACCTAAAATTCATAAGCCGGGAATTCCTTTGAGATCTGTTGCTTCTTTTGTTAATTCTCCGACTTATGCAATTTCTGGTTATCTTGCGAGAATTTTGTCGCCTGTCGTTGGGACTGTCAAAAATTCCTGCGAATTTGCGGATTTCATAAAGGAGAAGGCTCCTAACGCCGGCTTTCGACGTTGTTTCGCTCTACGCTAAAATCCCAGTTAATCTTGCCGTTAAAGTTGCGGAGGAGAGACTCAGAGAAGACGCTTCCCAAGGACAAAGAACTTCTTTGCCTATGGAGGATATAATTCTTTATGCCTCAAAACTACTCAATTTGTATACAACGGTACCTACTATCAACAGCTTTCTGGTACAGCTATGGGTTCGTTTGTCTCTGCCCTCATTGCCAAGTGGTTATGGAAGACGTGGAACAAAGGACCTTAGCCACTCTACCGGTTAAACCCTTGTTCTGGAAACGATATGTCGATGATGTTTTTTCTGCGGTATCCGCTAATGAAGCAGAACGCCTTCTATCGCATTTTGAATTCAGTGGAGCTATTCAATTCACCCTTGAACGTGAAAAGGATAGACACTTGCCCTTTCTTGTGTGCAGAGCGGAACAGGGGAATTTAGAGACAAGTGTTTATCGTAAACCTACCCACACCGACAAATACTTCGCTTTCGACTCTCAACACCCGGGCCTATTTGCCATAAAAAGTCTGTAGCTAAAACGTTACTCAGGAGGGCTGACTGTCTACCATCCTTGCTTGATTCGAAGGCTGACGAGAGAAAATGTTTCTAAAGGTAAATGGCTTTACCAAAATTTTTCTCCGTAACTGCCTGAAACCAGTTACAACTAGTAACACTCCTGATGAGAAGGAACCAGCGACTGGTTTTGCTGTTACCGCTCACATTCACGGCGTTACGGAACCCATAAAGAGAATTTTGAATAGCCACAATGTTCAAGTTACTCAAAAACCTTTTCCAGACTTTAGGGCATATTTTTGCTAAACCTAAGGATCCTGTCACGAAAGAACAACGAACCGGCTATTCCGTGCAATGACTGTGATCGAGAGTATATCGAACACAATCGTCAGTTTGGTACACGTTTGAAAGAGCATCAAAAAGCGGTCTTCTTCAGCAAAAAAGAAAATTCAGCTTCGTCGGAGCACACATGCCTAACTAACCATACAATTGGGTAAGATAAGTCTAAAATTATCACCACTAATCGACGTTACCACCAACGCCTTTGTTTGGAAGCTTTGCATATCAACCCCGCCCACGCTCCTTAAAATCCTGATAATGGCGGCTAATTACTTAACGCCTATTTACATCTCGTCAGAAAAAAAAAGGCAGCTAATTAATGAGCATATAAAAGGAACTCTTGTAGCAGCGATTAGATCACCCCCCAACACTAGACAGGAGTGTCGAAACGTTGGGTCTATGAATTGTAACTTCTTGGTTACATTCATTAAATCTTTACACCAGAGTTGCATCAAACCATGTCTGATTGTCCACCTGGTTGCCTTGTGAATTTTAATACATCAATTTTTCTTCTCTTAACTTTCAAAACAGATAAATATTAATTTCCTGCAAAAAGCGTTTGCTTATCAATAGTGCATATTTGCGAATTCGCTCGGTAGCCAGGACACAGCCAAAACGGTTCACATTAGCCTAAATTATGAATAAAATTTTTGAATAAGTTTACCTCCAAATTAACTCCCCTTTCTTGAACAAATATCAAAACTTACCAGCTTAAGAAAGACACTAAAACTATGAAAACGATGAAGTGAATATTTCGTGACCTTTCATGTGGTTAAAGCAGTTTCCATGCCTCTCATTTACAGTCACGTCGCAGCCTTCTCCAAGTTCTTTTTTTTTTAAAGTACTTTGAATTCCAGATAATTCAAGACAAATATGAGAAAAAAGTCTTGATATGGCTTATCTTGTTCAATTACAATAGTTACATGAAGGTAAAATTTGTCCTGCATATTGCAAACGGGTCCTGAAAAGTAAGGTCACTATTCACAGTGCGTCCTCCAGGCTCGCTGCTGTTGATTCTGGATCTGTGGAGTTCAATCTTCCTCTTCGTCTTCCTCCTCTCAAAATGCGGTATCTGATTAAAATCGTTGTCACGGCTTGAGCATATTTCGGAATTCTCCAAGCATACACAAACGGGTCCACACAAGCGTTGACAAATACAAATCTAAATGCGATTTGAAGAGACCTCACTAATTCTATTTTACCTTCCCCGGCTGAACATAAATTTCTTAAGTTTATTGTGACAGTGTAAGGCAAAAAGGCCACAAAGAACAATAATAAAATGGTGACAAATGCCTTCGTGGTCTTCTTTTCACTTTGAGCTCTTCTTAATTCGGTTTGTTCGACGCTGCAACCCAGACATGCAGTTCGGAGCCGCGCCTGCTGTTCCAGTAACCTAAAAGTTCTCCAGTACAAAGCCGGGAGCACGAGAAGAGGCACAGAAACGTGTAAATTGCAGTATAGCAGCTCAAAAATCCGTCGAGGTATCCCTGGACAAAACAAAATACTGGTGAAAACGACAGCGTAAATCCAGATCGTGACTATGAGCGCTTTGACACGTTTAGCTGTGACAACTGATCGATAGTAAAGCGCCAAACTCACAGCCAGCCATCGATCACACGCCATTGCTACGACATTACAACAAACTACAACGAGACTGATAGCGATAATAGCCAGAGTTACAAGTAAAAAATTGTCAGTGCTCTCTTCTGACATGCCGGAGAGTCGAAGTGAGTCGTAAACCATCAACTGGTATGCGCAGCAAAATCCAGTGAGAAAATCTGCTACAGCCATATTTATCACCAATTGTGTGCTTGGGGAGCGACGTAAATTTCGATGAGGATCTTTGAAGATAGTAAACAGTAACAGGAAATTTGCAACGCTGGCCGTTGTTCCCGATATGATGTCAAATAAAATAAACGATAGACGAAACCCATCAACACCAGAATCAGGCGGAATTGCTTCAGAGTTATGGCCTGGAGCTACTGAAGAGTTCATCCTAGTGTTAAGTTATGGTGGTCACTCGGATTACTGTTGGAGAGTTGAAGAAACTGTCCCACTTTGTTGAGATAAAGTGCAATTAAACACGCCAGAGTCAGATGTTAACAAATTAGTCTTATCATGAAATTGGCTCATTGTATTCACCGTTTGTCATGATAAACAAAGTCGAGGATAGATGCAAATGCAGTTAAATGTTGATTTTAAATCGGTACCATCAAAACTGAATCCGCTTCAGAAACAGATAGAATGCAGAAAATTCGGAAAACTTTTCAAAAATAAAAATTAAAAGTGTTTAGAATAGTAAAACTGTTTTCTGTTTCGCAAAAGTATCCCCATTAAATAACTGATAAAATAAAACATTAAATTCTATGAATACAATTTGTATGAATTGTACAAATTAAACGCCACACAGCTTCCTATGAATTCATGATTCAATTTCTTAACCTACCGGTACTCATTTCTGCAGAGGGGATCCTTGCAAACATCAATTATTTATAAAAATTTGTATCACGCGACAATGCTACATGTTTTCACAGTATTTTCAAGATTTCAACACGATACATCTCTTTAAGAGCGGTGCTAATTACATTAACAGTTAGTAAAAATTACATCAGGAAGGTGTAAAACTGTTAGTTATGCGTAATTTAGTGTTAACAACTTAGTTGAAAACGTAAATTAGCCATCGTAAAGGGTAAAAAAGCTGACGTTTCGAGCGTTAGCCCTTCGTCAGAGCGATTGGAGGAATTGTGGGTTGTGTGTGGGTTTATATGCGACGTGGAAAGAAATGACAAGGACGCATCCAAACCAGTCGCTAGACACTTTAATCTTCCCAATCATTCTAAACAGCATATGGCAGTCTGCGGCCTTTCCTTACATCTAGGCAGTTCGGAAAGCCGTAAAACACTGGAACAAAAATTTATCTTCCAAATCGGCACCCTTAATCCCCACGGAATCAACGAGCGCTTTTCATTCAACTAATTTACTCCTGTTTTCTTGTCACCATATACCCACCAATGGCGTAGCTCCACTTTCTGCATATAAACCCACACACAACCCACAATTCCTCCAATCGCTCTGACGAAGGGCTAACGCTCGAAACGTTAGCTTTTTTACCCTTTACGGTGGCTAATTTACGTTTTCAACTCAGTTGTTAACACTAAATTACCTGCTATATTCTCCCACCGACGCAGCACCACAGTTTTTTTAGAAACTTACCCCTTTGCTCTTATGTTAGTTATGCGTGTCGATCGTGGATAACAGTCTAAAAAAATTAACATGTAAAATGACTTAAAATTGATCAAAATCAAAAACAGTCCGGATTTGACTTCCTAATCTGATTGAAAATGCTAGCGCAATTCGATTTGTCTTTTGTTAGTGATCATGCATGAGCCCACAATTTTTATTTCAATTTTAAAAACAGTTTTTTTTTGGAAGGTGATCTTCTTGTAGTGTGTGCGTGTGTTTAACTATTCATACAATCATGATCAATACCTTTTATTTCCATTTATTACCATTAACACCATCCATTAGAGAATCAGCCAGCATATATAAGGTTAAGAACACACGTTATGTTGAGAGAAAAGAAGGCTGACAATAGTTTTTTTTCCCTTCATGGCATTAAATTAGACCGTGTTAAGCTAATGTAAGTATCTGCTCGGTAAGACACAGGCCTTATTTGAATCACAGGCCCTTCCTTCAATTCAATATTATTGACTTTGTTCAGTTAGTATCCTGAGACAGTCACCACCGACAATTCACCTATCTTGCTTTGACATGTAGCTCCACGTTTCTCGGTCCCAAGGCCCTATGCCCAGAGTATATGGTTCTCCTTCACTTCCCACTGGTTATAGCGAGATATAAAATGTACTTAAATACAAAACCGCCCTGAGTGTAATATAATTGGCCCTAATAATTGTCTGTCTTTCTAGTTCCATCGAAAACCTTTACAGACACCGTCATTTCGTGCGATATATTTAGTTTATATTGTGGCAGGTAATCTCCCCGATTGTGATCTTTACAGCTCGCCTCACTTCTCTCATCTTGTAACAGTAAAGAAACGGGTTTAAGGAGGAATTAAAGTAGGTAAGGGTAACAACAAAATTGCGCGCTATTTCCATGACACTCCCAGATAATCCTCCATGAATTCTTAATGTCGTTCCAACACCAAATGGGACATAACACAAGATAAAGGCAACTTGGACCCACCATATACTTTCAACGGTTTTCCTATATCGCGCAATGTTCAATGATGTTCTTCCCGCATTTGTTGCCCCTAGTTGAAAGTGTTCTCGCATATGTACTTGTGCTTGCAGATGGCGAAGTTTGAGGTAGATCTTGGTGTACGAAAAACTTGAGATCAACAGCAAAATTATCAAGGAAACTAGGACGAGAGACCAGGCAATGTCGAGTCTCCAGATGTATATCAATCCACAAGACGCTCCAATGAACCAAAAAGAAAAAATGAGGAGTAAAACACATCTTACTGTAACAATGTGCCTGTATCGAATACCCAAAAACAGCGCAAGAAGTCTGTCTACACTGACTGCACATGATGTGAACACTGACACTGTGCACAAAAGGTAACTTGAAAACGATTTTATTTTTGTAATGTAAAGTAACACTCCTGGGTCCAAGTCGTTTGTGGTGGAAATGCCAGCAATAATGGTGACAGCGAAGAGTGGCTGTGGTATAAAACCAACAAAGATGTCCGTGACTGCCAAACAGCTCAACAAAAGTTTGGTCGGGGAATGAAGAGACAAAACTTTTCTAAGAGCTTTCAGGATCAGATAGTTGCCAACAATTGCCGTGACGGAGAACAGAATATTTGCAGCGGAAAGAATTACAGCTAAAGTTAAGTTTCCATTATCGGCTGTGAAATTCGACATTGTTCCGTTATGTTACGAAATAACACAACCGAAAGTAAGTGAATGTTTTGTGGCTGTAGTAGGTACTGTACGGTATGCTCAGTCGATGTTCTTTCCCGACGAAATTACAGAATGAAACATCTGAAAGAAATCCGACAATAAAGATTCAGCTCAGCACCTTAATCGCAGAACCTTATCGATCAAGCAAACAAAGAGATGTAGTCTTGACGCAATTAAATTCAGGCGGCTGCTTGCTAGACATGTTTATATTTATTTTATGCCTCTTAACGTCATCCTGAAAAAGGGCTATCATGCTCAAAATGTGTTCAATTCTGGCATTTTACTTACATACTTACAAAACTTAAATAATGAATGTTGATTCACAAGGGGCAATGTTCCGGAGTAATATTTATTCCGGCTGCATTAGCTGTCCTTCGTACTTCCCCTAGTAGCATTAAAAAGCGTCAACATATTCGTGATGAAACTAAATTAAATAATAACTTAATCAGAGCACACTTTTGGAAACATTTAAGATTAAAAATTATCGGAAATATACGACTTTTCGATAGCATCAAAGTATATACAAAAAAGAGAATAAAGTAGCTGAATACATCCGCACGAGCAGAATGCTAAAATCAACACCCAATACAATCGATCTCTGTCAGAGCTGAATGTTTAGTTTGAACATGGTAATGTAGTTGTTTAAACACCTAAGATAACTGTCAATTTAAACTTTCTTTGTCTCTACTCATCTCCGCTCTTTTCTTAATTTCTTTACCTGTACGTGTTGAAAACGATAACTGAATATGTCAAGATACTTACACTAACATCAAAGAGTGATTGATATAACACACCAGATGTACAGCAAACCTGAATTTTTCCAAGCCCTCAGTGATAATCATGACACGTAGCATAAAGAGCTTCTTTGGTCAATGTTTGTTGTAAATATTCTTTCCTTGTATTCAGTTTTTGCGTTTGTACTATTAAAAAATTGTATGCTATGTTCCCTTTTTTTTATTATTGACATCATTTTTGAAAACGACCTGTACGCATTTGAATTTAGTGAAATTGCGCTTCGCCAATTTTTATTTCCAAGACTCTTCTATAAAACGAGGTTCAATTAAATTCTTTCATCCCATAGACAATGCAATTTACAGAGAAATGATGCTCCTCGTTCTTACTCAAAACATAAAAAAACGTTGTCTCCTGTAAACTGAATGGTAACGCTACATTAATATAAAAGTATTGTGCCAAAAGTCTAAAGTTAATCTACCTATACTATGGAAATGCTCGAGATTAAGCCAGATTTGTTTTTCGATCCATACCAATGGCAGTCTCAGCATTACAAGCCTGCTTTTGGCATTTAAATACAAACCACTCTAATTTTTTCTATATGGATAGTTCAATTGTAAATACACTTTCTTTTTTATCAAAACAAAAGACGAGCGCTACACCAGTTCCTTCCTGAAGCCTAAGGCATCATTGATGGTTGCTTCTTGCCAATGAGGATTTGCACCCGTGCTTTTAAGAGGTGCCTAAACAGTTGAGCTATCAAGTAGCCTTGGCTTTTAGCCGGCGACATTTACTTTCACCTGCCATTTTGTTGAGAGGCAACTGGTTACGAGCTTGCATGGGAGAAGTAATTAAACTAATGTGGCTGCTTTTTATGCCGCAATGACGGCTGCATCGGCCTACTGCATTTCACTGACACTTCTGCTTTTCAGAAGGAAAAATTAAAACAAATACTTATCGATTTACCTTATTAAGCGATTTTAGATTCTCTGGACGTATTGATAAATTTAAACATGTTCAGTACCAGACAAGTTCTTCTCGTGTATAAGGAAACCATCACATCTTTGAATGATCGTAAAGAACAAAACAATTCATATTTATTTTTTTGCTGATTACATGATATCCATCTTAAGGTTTTCGATTCATTCATTCATTCATTCTTATCGCCTATTCATCCATTATTCTCTGTCTATCTATCCATCAAAATCTACCATAGGGGATGTTTAATACTTCAGCTTTACCAATTTTTGCATCAAAACAAACGGAACATTTTCCTGTATCAGCTGTTATATTATGCACTAATGGCGTATCTCAGTAACATGAAACTGCATATATTTATTTTTTTAACTTCTAAATTTCATTAGAAGAACCAAGTCATTGACACACGACAATTTCCTACCAAGAGAAAATAATTATTTTCTTTTGTTGGTGCCTAATCCATTGGTAAAAATTTCTGAGACATAATCAATCTTGAGATAGCCTTCACGCGATGGATATGTATTCATTTCTGTTCATGTCCTTTGAGAAGGATGGCAGTAAGAATTATCGATTTAAATTGTAATTTATCCCACCCCACAGTTCTTCATTGACGGCTTTTATCTATGTTTCAAAACAAAAAGCGTGGGCTTATCAATAGTGCATGTTTGCGAATTCGCTCGGTAGCCAGGACACAGCCAAAAGTTCAATTATGCCTTTATTATGAATAAAATTTGTGAATAAGTTTACCTCGAAATTAACTCCACTATTTTTTAACTAGCATCAAAACTTACCATCCTGAGAAAGGCACTTAAAACTATAAAGACGATGAAGTAAATATTTCGTGACCTTTCAAGCGGTTAAGGTATTTTCCATGCCTCTCATTGACCGTTACATCGCAGCCTTCTCCTAGTTTCTTTTCTTTTTTATTTGAAAAGTACTTTGAATTTAAGTTAATTCAAAACAAATATGAGACAAAAGTCTTAATGGCTCATCGTGCTTAATTACAGTAGTTACATGACAGTTAAATTTGTTTTATAATGTCATGTTTACTCAGTAAAGACGTAAAGGCGATCCGGAAAGCGGTTACGTAATCATAGACTTTATCGTAGCGTAAACATCAAAACTTCGTCACCGTTGGTCATACGAATTTCTCCTATGGTTTTAAAGAAACGTTACAAAATCCTCTCCAAAACGATAAATTTTAAGATTAAATCTTAATTCAAAGATATCTGTTCTTCCAACACATCACCCGCACTGAGTTTAAGACCTTAAATGACCCAGCCCTTTCTTGTAGTTCTGTCTCCACTGCAGCAGCTGTTTAAACTAAGTAGTTCTAACGCCCCTGCATCAGCTTTAAAAGAACAAGCAAGCTAAACTAAACTTCTCTTCACGCGTTACTGTCTAACCTGCTTTGGTACACTCAGATTATACAGAGGGTCCTAATGCGGTGGTGGCTCTTACGGCCAACGGTTAAAATTTGGCCATGTTACAGCTACCGGTTGTTTGCTTTCCGTTGCGATTCAAAGAAAATTTCCTACAGCTGACTTTTTTCACGACTAACGGTTAAAATTTGTCAATTTTTTTCGCCTTACGGATAAAATCTTGAGATATGTCCCGAAATGCATGCAGCAATGAAAATGGCGAAAATTCCCCAAAATCGTCAAATCCGCCGAGCTGATTTCGCTTTGACGAAGTTGACTGAATCGTCAATCCATCAAATCCGACGAAATCGTAAAATCCATCAACATTTACTCGGTTTGACAAAATTTCGTCAAATCTATCATTTTCGTTACTCTGTGCAATACTGGACTTAAATGAAAATCTTTGTCGTTTTACGACTAATAGTTAACATTGAGACCCTTTTTCATTTCTTCCATCCGATCGTAATCATAAGTACTGCTCAATCGTACGTGGCTCAACCATTCGGTAATTTTACGAACATGTTAAAGGGACAACTTCACCTGTTTTGCCTATTTTCTTTAAAACCTCTACAATACTTGGCCAAACAAAGGTATCTTAAAGAAGCTTATGGCTTCAAAAATCTACTTACTCAACACAGTTCGCGCATTACCTCACCTTTTCATCCTCGATAAATTCCCTTCATGGTCTTAATTGACCTCGAGCATAATTTCGAGTTTACGACTCGCTAAGTTTTTGGAAACAAGCTTAGACGATTCTCAGTAAATGTTGATCATATATCATGGCAATTACGTGTCTTACATTCGCTCTCTATATAACACCTGCACTAATTCAAACTCCGCCCTCCTTAAAAATCCTACTCATGTAGGCGTGCACAAATTGTCCCACGATTGTCTGAATTCGTTACTCTTTAGAAGGAAAATATACGTGGCAAGCAAGCCCACTTGAATTACGAAAGAAATCACAAGACCATATTTTGTTAATCGTGATCTTTTTTTTATTCAAAATTACAGTAAGAAGTAAGTTAACAAAGTAACCTACATCATATAATCATTGAATATCGTTCCGAATAGGAGAGAAGTCACTAAAGCTTTAAGTATACATTTGTTTTTACTTGTTTATAATTTTACACCATACTCTTACTTTTAATAACACAAGGCGGTTCATCATAAATGAGTCGATGTAAATACGATGTAAATTTACGCTGATATGCCAAATACTTAAAATTTGTTGATAAATATTTTTAACATGACAGTTTTTAATGAGTCGTCGACATTGTAGTTCAAATAAATTTATGGAGCTGCAAATATGACTTTTTTTTTTCGCCATACACACTATCTTGAAATTTGCTTACGTCCTTTTCATATTACTCATAGTTTATTGAATTGTCGTCTGTCTTGTCTCACGCAACGTTAAATCAACAAGTAATAATGGCTCGAAATTATTTGAAAAGTTGCTATTCTTGTAAAATCGTTCATTTTTCTTCCTACGGCTTTGTCACCACAAGTTAGACAAAAAGCACAACGTTTTCCGTCCTTATGATAAAATCATCCCGACAATTTGTGCACGATGAAACATTTAGCCGGCTTCACGCACTCCGTAGGAGTTTTAAAACATATTTTAGGCGCACTTTTACGAGAATAAACAATACATTTTCCCCCATTATTTAACATAGTAAAAGTTTTGTTCAAGATGACAGACAAGACAGATACCAGAAGCTGTTTATGTCTTTCTATAAGACACCAAATGACTTCATTAATAGATTATCTCCTATATTTTTCCAGCTTGTCTAATTCTTCGGCGGAAGTTGCTCGAATTTTTTAAGTTACACTTGAAATTGTTTAAGTTCTCATTAGGTGTGATATACCACTGAAAAACAGCTCAGTAATTTCGAACTTCATTATTATTAAAGAAATAAAACGTCGGAAAATTGTTATTCACATTTCTAGTCATTAAGTCTCTATTGTTTAGATATGCAATTGTATTAGT